AATATGTCAAAATGACATTGACATTTCAAACCGGAAGTTGACCATAACTTCATTAATATTGAAGATAAATATGTCGTGTTTGTACTCATTTTAAAGGATTTTTAATGAAGATTACAAATATGTCAAAATTGAGGTTGACATTTAAACCTGAAGTTAGTTATCATATAATAGACATATGGACAACTTCATGGTGTTCTTTCATGATGTATTCTTTATTAAAAAACCTTTAAAATGAGTCCAAACATGACGTACTTATCTCAAAAAACAAAAAAGTTAGAATAAAAAACGTTAAACCGGAAGTTAGCAACAATGAAGATGACAATTTAATTTTTAAATATTAATACCAACCGTAATTTTTGTTTTTTTTTGTATTACTTTTTCGTTTTTGTGACAAATTTTATAAAAATTAACAATTTATCAAAATGACATTGACATTTCAAACCGGAAATTGACCATAAATTCATTAATATTGAGATAAATATGTCGTGTTTGTACTCATTTTAAAGGCTTTTTAATGAAGATTACAAATATGTCAAAATTGAGGTTGACATTTGAAACATGAAGTTAGTTATCATATAATAGATATATGGACAACTTCATGGTGTTCTTTCATGATGTATTCTTTAGTAAAAAACCTTTAAAATGAGTCCAAACATGACGTACTTATCTCAAAAAACAAAAAAGTTAGAATAAAAAACGTTAAACCCGAAGTTAGCAACAATGAAGATGACAATTTAATTTTTAAATATTAATACCAACCTTAATTTTTGATTTTTTTGTATTACTTTTTCATTTTTGTGACAAATTTTAACACATTTTATAAAAATTAACAATTTATCACAATGACATTGACATTTCAAACCGGAAGTTGACCACAACTTCGTTAATATTGAAGATAAATATGTCGTGTTTGTACTCATTTTAAAGGATTTTTAATGAAGATTACAAATATGTCAAAATTGAGGTTGACATTTTAAACATGAAGTCAGTTATCATATAATAGACATATGGACAACTTCATGGTGTTCTTTCATGATGTATTCTTTATTAAAAAACCTTTAAAATGAGTCCAAACATGACGTACTTATCTCAAAAAACAAAAAAGTTAGAATAAAAAACGTTAAACCGGAAGTTAGCAACAATGACGATAGCAATTTAATTTTTAAATATTAATACCAACCTTAATTTTTGATTATTTTGTATTACTTTTTCGTTTTTGTGACAAATTTTAACACATTTTATAAAAATTAACAATTTATCAAAATGACATTGACATTTCAAACCGGAAATTGACCATAACTTCATTAATATTGAAGATAAATATGTCGTGTTTGTACTCATTTTAAAGGATTTTTCACGACGATTACAAATGTGTCAAAATTGAGGTTGACATTTTAAACCTGAAGCTAATTATTATACAGGATGTCTGGAAATTGCGTCTATATATTTAAAGAGATGATTCTACATCAAGTTTATATAAAGTCCGGTCCGAAAATGCTTCCTATAAAGCCCTTTAAAAATGGCACTTAAGAAGTATTTTTTAGCGTAATCTCAAAAACGGCAAGGTATAATGCAATTTTTCTTGGAAACGACTGGTTTTAGACAATTTTCTAAGTAGTACTTTCTTATGTATTCTTTTCCGCAGAATTGATTGATGCAATTAAAGTGGTAGAAAAAATAAAGATAAAAACCTATGGTAGCGTAAACGCACCCCCTACGTGTTGTGTTGGACCCCATAAATTATTTATTTGTTTTCTTTTAGTTATCATATTTGTCACGTAAAAATATCCCTGTACACCAAATTTCGGCGTTCTAAACCTTGTCGTTTTTTAGGATAACGCTAAAAAGCACGCCTTTTGAGTGCCATCTTTAAAGGGCTTTATAGGAAGCATTTTCGGACCGGACTTTCTATAAAGTTTTGAAGTAGAATCACCTCTTTCAATATATAGACGCAATTTCCGGACAGCCTGTATAATAGACAAATGGTCATCTTCATGGTGTTCTTTATTAAAAAACCTTTAAAATGAGTCCAAACATGACGCACTTATCTCAAAAAACAAAAAAGTTAGAATAAAAAACATTAAACCCGAAGTTAGCAACAATGAAGATGACAATTTAATTTTTAAATATTAATACCAACCTTAATTTTTGATTTTTTTTTATTATATTTTCGTGTTTGTGACAAATTTTAACACATTTTATAAAAATTAACAATTTATCAAAATGACATTGACATTTCAAACCGGAAGTTGCTTATATCTCGCGTAATATCGGAATTAAACGTATCATGTTTGGGCTCATTTTAAAGGATTTTTCACGACGATTACAAATATGTCAAAATTGACGTTGACATTCTTAACCGGAAGTTGACCATAACTTCATTCATATTGAAGATAAATACGTCGTGTTTGTACTCATTTTAAAGGATTTTTAATGCAGATTATGTCAAAATTGAGGTTGACGTTTTAGATAGAATAGAAAACATTAAGCTTGAATGTTTTTAGTTCTAAGTCTAGTGTTAGTTCTAGTTTTGCACTATCTCTAGAACTAACACAAGACCTAAAACTAGAATCATTCGGGTTTACCCTTCAGTACCGGCGCTAGCAAATGAAGCGCCAGGGTGCGGAAACCGGAGTGGCGACCCCCCCCCAAGCATTTTGGGCGGAATGCGGGGAAAAAATTAAAAATTCATTTTAATTAAAAAAAATTAAATAATGCATTTTAATTAAAAGAAATATATAATGAAAGAAATATAAATAAACTTAAAAAAGACTGGAATAATCATAATCTATACTTCAGCAAAAATTAAAGAATTATACTGGTGAAAAACCAAACTTATGGGAATAGTCGGGAATACTCTGGTCAGAAGGTTAATTTGCAAGAAAAAGTCTGAAATTGCAATAGATATAAACTAGACTTCAGCCAACTAGTTCAAAGTCCATATGAAGTCTGAAATTACTGTTCAGAGAAAACAAAAAATTGCAATATCTTGTTATTGCACAGGACAGGAAATCACCAAACGGAAACTTTGCCAATGCAGGATAAGCACAAAAGCAAAGTAACAGCTGCAGAAATGAGGTACCGGGTGATACAAGATCTCTATAGATAATAAGAGGCTCCCAGAAAGATGATGATAGACACCCAGAAAGAAGTAGCTGTCAGTATCAAGAACAAAACATACATAACGTTGGCAGAAGACTAGATACTGCTTCTAAAAAACTAAATACTGCTTTCTGAAGACTAGATACTGCTCTGGAAGATTAAATACTGCTTTCTGAAGACTAGATACTGCTCTGGAAGATTAAATATTGCTTTCTGAAGACTAGATACTGCCGACAAATCTAAATACAACGTCTGGAACACTAAATACTGCTTTCTAAAGACTAAAATTGCTTTGTGGAGACTAAATACTGCTTTCTGAAGACTAGATATTGCTAACAGGTCTAAATATTGCAAAAGAAAGATAAAATATTTTGGAGAAAACATACATAACTTTGGCAGAAGACTAGATACTGCTTCTAGAAGACTAGATACTGCCGACAGGTCTAAATACAGCGTCTGGAACATTAAATACTGCTTTCTAAAGACTAAAACTGCTTTGTGGAGACTAAATACTGCTTTCTGAAGACTAGCTACTGCTGATAGGTTTAAGTACTGCAAAAGAAAGATAAGATACTGTTGGAGAAAACATTAAAAAGGCACCGGCGCCCCCTTTTAGGCGGCATCCGGGTGCAGTGCACCCCTGGTAGCGCCGCCTCTTCTTGATAGACGTGCGGCTAAAACCGAATATTTCTAGTTTTAGGTCTAATGTTAGTTCTAGTGACGGTGGTAGGTAGCGCTAGTTAGCATAAGATATCACTCTAGAATCATTTGGGTTTAGTTGTCTTTAGAGACATACGCAAATATGTTAGTTCTACATAGTAGCGAAACATGGCAAAATAGAAACTGTAATTATAATATACTATAATTTTCTTTTAATCGTTTTTGATTCAATTTAATCAATAAATAATTTTGTTTTAGGAATAGCATTTTATTTCTTAATGCGTCCATCAATCGAGATTCAACTGCAAGAAAAAATCGTATTCGGAGCCTTCTTTTTCGGGGCGATCGTCTGTTTGGGATTCTCTTTCATGTTCCACACCGTAAACTGTCACTCGCAATTTATCGGGAAGTTATTTTCAAAATTAGATTACTGCGGGATCGCTTTATTAATAATGGGCTCTTTCGTCCCATGGTTATACTACGGCTTTTATTGTCATTTTAAACCGAAAGTTGTTTATTTAAGTGTCGTTTGCGCTTTGGGAGTGACCAGTATCATGGTGAGTTTATGGGATAAATTTTCGGAATCAGCGTGGAGACCGTTTAGAGCAGCCGTTTTTATGACATTTGGATTGAGTGGAATTATTCCTGCGATTCATTATGGTATCGCCGAGGGGTGGTTTAATGATTTGAGTCAAAAAAGTTTGGGTTGGTTGGTTTTAATGGGGTTATTGTATATTATTGGGGCGATGCTGTATGCTTTGAGGGTGCCCGAAAGGTGGTTCCCTGGTAAATTCGACATTTGGTTCCATTCTCACCAAATTTTCCATGTTTTTGTACTTGGTGGAGCTTTCGTACATTACCATGGAATTTCTGAGATGGCTATGCATCGCGTTACGATAGGACAATGTGAAATACCTGATACTTCAATTTATTAAGAGAAAAGATTTAGACATATTTTTATTATTTTATAATAAATACAAGATTATAATTAAAAGAAATTCTAGGTAATTTTTTTCTTTTTTTTGTTGGTCTTTTTGCACTGTTAAATTTCGTTTTTAATATTCGTTATTCTCGAATTTTTTTTTAATAAATTTGTGGAATAAAGCCGTCTTCTTTGTACATACATAATTAAGATTAACTACTTAACTTATTATTATTAAAATAGTTTAAAAAATCTCTTTGGTTATAAAACTTGTTTCCGTTTAGTTATTAACGCATCTTATTTTTTTTTCCGTTTCTTCCACACCACCAGGGGCTGTATATTTTAGGTGTAGAGGTTATATATTGTAATATCAACGTGAAATTTAAAATTTACATGAAAAAAACTATGAAAATTGAATAAATAAAGTGATTGTTGTTGTAAAATTTAACGTTTTCATTGAACATAACCTCACTTTTCAATTATATCAATTTTTAAAGATCCAAATTTTGATTCATTTAATTAAATCAATCGAAATAATAAAGAATTACCTTTTAAATGATCATCCTTGCGAGAAAACGAACTTATTTTCACTTAAAACTTGAATTAATTTCGAGATAAAATGACGTTTAAAATATGTCAAAAAAGAGGTTATAAAAAGTACCAACCTTATTTTTTTTTTCGTCTCTTCCACACCTCCAGGGCTGTATATTTTAGGTTATATATTGTAAAATCAACGTGAAATTTGATGTTTACATGAAAAAACTATGAAAATTGAATAAATAAAATGATTGTTGTTGCAAAATTTGACATAACCTAACTTTTCAATGATATCAATTTTTAACGATCCAAATTTTGATCCTTTTAATTAAATCAATCGAAATAATAAAGAATTACCTTTTAAATGATCATCCCTGTGAGAAAACGAACTTATTTCCACTTAAAACTTGATTTAATTTTGAGATAAAATGACGTTTAAAATATGTCAAAACAGGTTAAAAAAATGAACTAAGGTGAAGTTAGCTTCACCTGTCAAATATATCAATAATCAATACTAAAATCTGTAATTACCAGAAAATAACGCAAAATAATAAAGAATTACCTTTTAAATCATCATCTCTACGAGAAAAACTTATTTCCATTTAAAACTTGAATTAATTTGGAGATAAAATGATGTTTAAAATATGTCAAAAAAGAGGTTATAAAAAACCAATCTTCGTTTCTTCCACACCATCAGGGGCTGTATATTTTAGTTGTAGAGGTTATATATTGTAATATCAACGTGAAATTTAAAATTCACATGAAAAAATTATGAAAATTGAATAAATAAAGTGATTGTTGTTGCAAAATCTGACATAACCTCACTTTTCATTTATATCAAATTTTAACGATCCAAATTTTGATCCTTTTAATTAAATCAATCGAAATAATAAAAAATTACCTTTTAAATGATCATCCCTGTGGCAAAACGAACTTATTTCCACTTAAAACTTGATTTAATTTTGAGATAAAATGACGTTTAAAATATGTCAAAACAGCTTAAAAAAAGAAACTAAGGTGAAGTTAGCCTCACCTGTCAAATATATCAATAATCAATACTAAAATCTGTAATTATCAGAAAATAACGCAAAATAATAAAGATTTACCTTTTAAATCATCATCCCTACGAGAAAAACTTATTTCCATTTAAAACTTGAATTAATTTGGAGATAAAATGATGTTTAAAATGTGTCAAAAAAGAGGTTATAAAAAACAAATCTTCGTTTCTTCCACACCATCAGGGGCTGTATATTTTAGTTGTAGAGGTTATATATTGTAATATCAACGTGAAATTTAAAATTCACATGAAAAAATTATGAAAATTGAATAAATAAAGTGATTGTTGTTGCAAAATCTGACATAACCTCACTTTTCATTTATATCAATTTTTAACGATCCAAATTTTGATCCTTTTAATTAAATCAATCGAAATAATAAAGAATTACCTTTTAAATGATCATCCCTGTGGCAAAACGAACTTATTTCCACTTAAAACTTGATTTAATTTTGAGATAAAATGACGTTTAAAATATGTCAAAACAGCTTAAAAAAAGAAACTAAGGTGAAGTTAGCCTCACCTGTCAAATATATCAATAATCAATACTAAAATCTGTAATTATCAGAAAATAACGCAAAATAATAAAGATTAACCTTTTAAATCATCATCCCTGCGAGAAAAACTTATTTCCATTTAAAACTTGAATTAATTTCGAGATAAAATATGTCAAAACAGGTTATAAAAAGAACTAAGATGAAGTTAGCTACACATATCAAATATATCAATAATCAATACTAAAATCTGCAATTATCAGAAAATAAGGCTCGAAAATATATAATATGCCTCGGCCGCAAGCGACCTCGGCTTAATTAGTAAATACATTCTTGATAATTGTGTAGCTTTATATCGATATGCTCTTGAGCTAGTGCCTCAGCCGCAAGCGACTTCGGCTTCATGATGATAAATATGATTTAAAATTGAGTAGCTTTGTGTCAATATGATGTAGTGCGACCTCGGCTTCATTATAACATATTTTCTTGAATATAGAGTAGCATAACATCGATTTTGGATCGATAATATGCCTCGGCCGCAAGCGACCTCGGCTTAATACTTAAAAATTGATTAAATTACTTACCGATACACCATCATCCAAGAATTATTGTTTCTTTGCCCCATTTCTTCGCCAATTCACAACTAAACTAAATGCACTTAATTCGTTTCATAATCGTTTGATAACAACATAACCTCACCTCTCAAAATATCAATTTCAAATTAAAAGATGTAACTAAAACGGTATTTATTTATAAAATTTGTAATCAATTCTTATAAAAGCGATTTAAAACTAATTAAATTTAATTACGGCAAAATCGTTTTAAAATTGTGGTGAATTATTAATATTTTTTTTTTAATTTAATTTTTGTTAAGTTGGATTCAAAAATTAATCTCGACCCCTCTTTATTAATCTCGAACCCCTCGATTTTTAATCTCGACCCCCCCCAATTTTATTTCCGGTTAAGCTACTTCCGAGTCTTATCAACGCCATGTTTGTGTTTTAGTGGCGTCTTATTTTAATTAAGTTTTATTTTGGATATTTTGTTAATTATTTAATTAATTTTAGTGTTATTTATATCCCGAGTAAGTTCTTTTTCGCTTTATTTACTTCGCTTCGTTTAATCTATTATTTTTTTTGCTAAAATGACCGTTAAAAACTTGTTCAAACAAGTTATGACGTAATAAGAACGAAAACTTTTTCTACACGTGTCAAATATATCAATAATCAATACTAAAATCTGGAATTATCAGAAAATAATGCTTCAATAATATTATCTAAAGAGTATAAAAATTTGAATTTGCGAGTATTAATATCGAAAGAACGTAAAAATAACTCCAAACTTGTTATGGCTCGAACAAGCAATTTCGCCTCGAGATTATCTTGTTGTGTTGACACCAATTTAATTATTAAAGCTGTAGACAAGTTCGGAAGAATACTTGAGATTACCTAAAACGAATTGTTTTTAACACAACTTTCCTAAGAACAACTAAAAATTAATTTACTTCTTTACTATTACTTCTTGACATTGAAGGCATACCCAAACCACTTTGCATAACGGCCTCTTCATTAACAGGAACCATCACAGCGCAACTAAACACATCGATAATATAAACAATCTTCTCCGGGGTATCATCCTCAATAAACTTCAACAAATAAAGACTCCCAGCGTTGTAAGGGCTTAAATTAACACCCAATCTTCGAGCTACGCTCTCATAAATGATTGATAACACGAGACGGGACCCAATTTGTGATTTCAAAACTTTCGATATTAATGAATTATCGATCATGAAGAAATTTGAGCAAGCTGAAAATCGCATCGTTTCGAAAATGACTTTATTCATAGATTCCAAAATAATTTTGGAATCTTTTGAAGAAAATTTGTTGTTGGAAATGTGTTTGCTCCGGAATTGTTTTAAATCTTCACAAATAGCGAATATTGGATGATTTGGGTGATTAATCCTTACGAATTTTTTCACCTCTTCAGCGATTTTATCTAATTCATTTTGAACATCTTCGATTTTCGTGTTATCTTGTGGTTTAATCCACTGTTCCAACAAAGTGACGGCTATTTCGAAAACTTGATTTTGCACGTTTAAAGAAAAAAAATCTTTTATAACATTGTATAAAGCATAGTGGGTTAAACAATATAAAGTTTGTTTTTGTATCATGTATTTATCCGTTTTATCAAAGAAAGTGTACACGAAAAAACCCACCGCATATTCTCTGTTTAAACGTTTCGAATCGATTATTTTAATGATTTCTTTGAAAGTTTTCTTGGTGAATTTGTTCGTTTTTATTAAAATTTGATTTACCGTTTTAATTATGTGGTGACAATGAGTAATTTCCAAATAATAATCGTCGATTTCGGGTAAATCCGGGATTTTGGACCACATTTTTAAGTAATGCCTCTTCCACAAGGTGTTATTGTTTAAAATAAATTTTCGGAGGAAGGTGCAAGTTGAAGAAAGATGAACTAAATCACGAAAACCCAACGATTTTTGTTCTATTATGATTTGGATGATTTCCGTGGGTAATTTATCAAACATTTTTGAAAATTATTTCACTAAAAAACCACTTAAGTCAACTCACTTAGATGTATAATGGATGTATGTAACAGGAAACTACAGGAAACAGCTGATTTTATCAAAAAACAGTAATACCAACATCATTTATAGTTTAGGGAAATCAAATGTTTTTTTTAAATCATTAAATTCCCTAAATGGGTTAACGCCCAATTTTATAATTACTATGTTTAAAGTTGTGTTTTAAATGAAGGGGTCGGGAGAAAAAAGTGCCAAGCATCATGTTTGTTGTTTTGAGATAAAGCAAGTTGAAAGTTTGGCTAAATCCATAAATAACATTTTAGTGCAGACAACAAACCAAAGTTTTTTAATACAAAGGTCATGTATCTATATACCGTTAAAAGTGAAGATGTAGGTAAAAAAACGCTATTATAAGATAAAAATGGTTGTATAGAAAAATATGCACTGAATAATGTTGCTTGGCATTTTTTCCCCAAAAATCGACAAAAAATACTCTTAACCAAAAAGGTACTTTCCAAATAGGCCTATATTACCACAACATCGTCCTTTTGGTCGTCTACTTCAGCAGAAGACTGTAGGCCATTGTAATATTCATGGTAGATGGGAGGAATGTATTGCATCAAGGATTTGACATCATCTAATTTTTTCTTATTGATTTTGTTGGGCGCATTTCTTTCTAAATGTAGTGCTGGAATAGAACTCCTTCCACGTTTCTTTAGGTTCAACACTAAAAACTCTTCGTTCATCAAGTGTTTGAGTTTCATTTGAAAAGGTTCTTCGCTGTCAAATTTAAAGCAAATAGCTTTGGAAAATCGTGGAGGAGTAACACCATCTGTACAAAACTTGCTTTTTGTGTTAAAGTAGGTCTCTTGCACCCTAGACAAATCGAGGAAATCCTCACTCATCATGCATGTTACGATGAAGTTCAGTGTTTTGTTCCACACTTTGCTACTATCTCTCTCCATTGCCCAGGACTGTACACATTTTGGCAGTGCTTGGTATGATACTTTTCTAT